GCATTTCCCCACCCCCCCTTACCTGTGAAGTTGAGGACCTCAGACCACTGTTTGCAGATGTAGACACGGATGTCAGATCCTCCAACAGCCAGGTAGGTACCACTCTGGTCAAACACAAGGGACTTCACCTGAAACACAAAACAAACGGAAGGATGAGAATCAGAAACACAGAGGATGAATGCTCTCCAGATCAGAAGAGACACAGCCAAGACAACATTGTGCCGAGTGTAATAATGTTCTCATACGTGCAATTTACATTCTGTTAGTGTCATTTACAAGACTCATCTTAGTGATGAAATCCTTCAAATGTTTTCATTTGCAGAGTAAGGTGAAAAGCTCAATACCACTTTCATGTCTTTAAGTTAAAAACAAAACTAGAGCCAGAGGGCTAAGCTTAGCAAAAAGACTGGAAGCAAAAGGAAACAGCCTGGTTCTTTGCTAAATTAAAACAATCCTCCTACCAGCGCTTTTACATCGAATTAATGAAAACATTTAGGAGTAAAGTAGTGGCATCCATATGAGGCATGTACAGACAGTATCTTTTTAATTCAACTCAAAAAAAACATTTCCCTCTCAAACTATAGGAAATATATAAAATGCCTTACCTCATAGTTGTTGTCCAGATTGATTGTCTTGAAGTTCTTCAGTTTCCTCAGATCCCACAGCTTCACAGAGCTATCCTGGGCACCTGGAGCACCAAACAGCAATGCATGGTTTTTTAAAAACTATTAATAAATACAGTTCCACATCCAGTGCAGAAACAAAGTATGGACAGTACGTTAGTGGGATTTTAAGATGTCACAGGTCAGTTTCCCAGTTTATGTGTGCAATTTTGATATTTAACAAAAAATGCTTCTCTGTCTTTAAAAACAAAATGTATGAACTTTAAACGTGGCAGTGAAACCGAGTAGAGATGCTGTTGGTGGTGCTGACCTGTAGCCAGATAGTATCCGTTCTCAGAGAAGGCGATGGAGGTGACGGGGCCAGAGTGGCCGGGGAAGTTGGCCACGTTGGTGCGCTCCTTCAGATCCCAGATCTTGATTTGGGAATCAGCCGTCCCAGTGCCAAAGATGAGACCATCGGGGTGGAACTGAGCACAGGTCAGAGCTTTTGGGGGGGGGGGGGGCAGACAGAAACATTATCACCCGAAATAAAATCTGTACTCATATTCAGACTGTCAGAAGTAAACATCGAGGCACGTACCACAGCCAGCACTTTCGTCCGTGACTTTAGTGAGGACTCGTCCAGTCTGGACATCAGAAAAGGCCCAGTACTGCCGAACAAGGAGGGGAAACGTCAGTGTGTTTGAATGAAGAGAAACTTTAGTGTAAATATAGCACGAGCTCTGTCAAAACACACACCTGATCCTCGGAGGAGCTGAGCAGGTAGTCCCCAGTAGCGTGAAGGGAGAGTCCAGTGACACCCCCCTCGTGGGCACGCACCACCTGGACACAGTTTCCCCCGGCAACGGACCACACACGGATGGTGTTGTCTGGAGACGCAGAGAAGACCACGGACTAGAGGGGGAGATACAGCGAGGCAAACGGGGGAGGGAGAGAAAGAGCAAACGGCGAGTTAGAAAAACAGATCATTCTTTGGCCTGAAACACTTTTCTACTTCTGAATGGTGCAGCGTCAGGATGTGTTTGTTGAGGGGGGGGCATTACCGCGGATGGATGGTAAATGACAGAGGTGACCTTCTTGGTGTGACCCTTCAGTGTTGCCACAATCTGTTCCTCGCTCTTATCAAACACCACCACGTTCTTATCAGCTCCGCCTGAGGAACAAAAGAGGGTCGATATCAAACAGAAGTCCTCAAAAAAAAAGAAGAAGAGAAAGGTTTTGGAATTGAAATATGCAACGTAGCGAGAGAATAAATGAATGTACCGGTGAGAACTTTGTTGGTGTCGGAAGGACACAGATCCAGAGCCAGAATACCAGGGACACTGGCACTATGAAGACCCTGCAGGCATCAATAAGACAGGATGTTCACACCATGTACATCCAGTCAATACAAATTAAAAACACCCTTGCATCTCTCTGATTAAAAAAGGGAAATAAAAGTATTGATACTCAGACAGACAGCAATCTTTACTTACAGCATGAGAGGCCACTTGGCGGTATTTGCTGAGATCCTCAGATCTAACCAGCTCCTCTGGGACAGTTTTTCCTCTCTGGAGAAATGCAGTAAAGCGTTTAAACGGAGAATACATTACATAGAACCACAACAGTACGACTTGTGGTAGAGTATCGGACTTATTAAGAGTGAATAGTAGACCAGAACAATACCTTCTTTCTTTCTGTGGTGAGGATAGTAGCTTTGTCTTGGAGCTGCAAACAGAAACAAGGCCATTTAAAACACACCTTAGACCTGCTCAAATAAACTGAAAGCTTATAGCCAAATAGTGATTTCATCTTTTTTAATAAACGTACCTTTTGGATGATCTCTGGGGTCATTCCCACCTGTTCACTAATCTCCATGGGCTCTCCACCGGCACCCTGAGGTACAGAAGGCAGAACATAATCATTTTAGGAGAACGTCTGGCAAAAGATTATGATGAGCATTTATATTCAGTATCTCATCGAGTGGATTCAAAAAGGTCAATCACTTACGGCTGCGTTTTGCTGAGAGGCAGGGACGGCCTGAGGAGCAACCAATCCAGCCTGGGGCTTGAGTGTGGCAAGAGCTGTACAGATGAAATAGAACCCATTAGAATAACATTGATTCAACTAAAAGCTCATGTTGGCGAGGAGATGATTTAGTAAGGATTTTATCAATGCTGCTCTGTATGCTTTACGAGGGGAATCCTGTCCTACGATAGAGGACACACAAACGGCTGGAGACCCACCTTCTCTCGCAGCAGTGACCTCTTTGGTGAGACGAGCGATGACTCTGCAGGCGGCATCGTGTTGGTAGAGGGCGTGAGACAGCTCTTGGCGAGTCGTCTGCAGCTGTTGCCGCAGGGTGAAGCTGTGAAGCATAACAGCATCCTGAAACAGAAACAAAAAACAGGTTGAAGGAACTCTTTCCATTGTTTTAAAACTATTTTACAAAGAGGAAAAAATTTAAAAAGGAGAAGTCGCCTAACAATGGCTATTAATCAGATTGGTACACTCTACTCTAAGGTTTAATACTGTCAACAATATTGGTTAAAAAGGTATAGAAAGAAAAGGTCACTTGTTCAGTAATTCTGGGTAACGTTTACAGTATAAACGTGTTGCGGTGGATATATCCTCTTCAAGCTTTACAGTACTTACCCACTCATCTTGAAGGGACTTGAGGATGGCAGGAATGCTTGTTGCTGATGGAGCCTTTGGTCTAATGGGATGGGACACTGAAAAAGAAAAGAGTTGCTCTTGTTTAGTCTAATCTTTTCATCAAGGTGGTGTTGTAGGTTACGAGGTTTCAATAACACTCGCTGCAGAGTAGGGCACGTCATACAGTTCTCTTCTATAGGGGTGGTATTTATTCATATTCATGCAAGTGAGCATCTTGTATTTGCCCGAAAAAACATGTTTTGTTCAGCTTCTTTGTTGGTATTTAACATAGTGCATGTGGTCCTTGTGCATCAATTTTACAATTCTAATCCTACTGTGATGTGCATATCAAATAAATTAAACGTAACTTGAATCGAAATACTAGTTTATCTTTAAATGGAATAATAGTAGCAGCTCTAATCACAATATTGGTTGCAAGACTACCAGCATCATCTCAGGTGCTGCTTTATCAGTTAAACCTCGCTTTAACTAAACAAAAACCCACCTTCATGGAGGTTTATTATTTTATCTGCTTTAGGGGGGTGATTTTTCATTCATTCATTCAGGGTGGTAGTTGAAGAATACTTTGTTATACTTGATCATTAAACTGCATTAGCTTCAGCTCGGTGCTCGTAATGCAGATAAGTTGTACCTTTGATGTCTACGAGCTGCTCCTCAGAAAGAGGCTGCCCGTTCATCGGGTCGGTCCCATTCTCTGCGATGTACTTCTCGATCAGCCGGCGCTCAAACACCTGGCTGGACACCGGGGAGACGCATGGGTGCTCCGGGACCTCGTTGGAGACTAGATAAAAAGCAAACACAGCTTAAAAACACGCAATAGCAGCAACTAAAGACCCACAAACAAGACGGATGGGGCATCACAAGTAGAAGGCGGCACTGCGTGGCCGCTAGCTACATTAGCTAGTAGCATTAGCGCCTACACTGACTCCGCCATATCCATGTAATCTCATTCACTTACTTGCACAAACCAAAGACATCTTCCCGACCCAGTCCTTATAGTCTCTTCCAGAAATTGAATTATACTAGTCTTACGCTTTAACAGTAACAATCGCTAATGTGCACTTTACTTATGTTTTACTCAAATTGGAAGTAGCACGCTGTCCTTTCATTGCCGCTACAAACTGAGCTTCCTCTTCTTCTACGCTTTCTTCTCCAGTCTCCGCCAAGCCACACTTGTCCTCCACTGCCCTCTATCGCCGGAAAACACACCTGCTCCCACCAGGGAAATAAAGTAAGTGGAGTAATGAAGAATGGAGTGGATAGATAGAACATTAATCACTAAAATCACTATAAATCACATTTGGTTGACTGTTCGATTCTTTTATCAAGCTAATATACAAAATATTAAGAATCAAATGTGTTTTTTGTATTCATTTAAAATGTGTCAATATCTTAAGGCCAAGACGCTCAACTTGATTTGCCACATTTGCAAAATTAGGAGGTGGTCATTCAAGGTTTTTGGTCCAGCACCTTTTTAAAATTCAAATTGATATTAAAATAGTCTGCAGGCCACCCTATCTTGCACAAGCTCTGTAATTTAGCATCACTGTCTTTGGGTATGCAATTTTAACATGCAAACTATTGTTATTTGAACTGATGGCCATTTCTCGCTTTCTGAAGTTTTGTAAATTTAAAGAAAACACATCAGCAGAATTATCCATAATATAAATACATATTAGTTACATCCAAACAAAGAGCATAGGAGGAAATGTATAAAAAAAATGAGAGTGGTAAAGATATATTTATTGTTTAAGAGATGACATTTTGATAGTCCAAAAAAATGACAAGCAGCAGTCCAACCTTTTCTACTAAATATTTGGTCTTACGATATTATCTTGTAGAGTTTACAGATAGATAGGCTATAGCTAGTACTAATACAACAGTTACCTTGAGGGTATAAAATCACTGGACTGCATAGCAGGCATTAAACATGATATTTAAATGTTGTTGTCCTTAGGAATGGTTGTAGTTAGGAATGGTTATAATGGATGAAGAAAAACACGTCAACTAACTCTCTATTACTGTACAGTATTTAAGAATTCCTTTTTGCAAACTTTTATACCACAACTTTAATTTCTACGTAGCCCAGAGATCACACCACACACATACTCGTATCAACACTCAGCAAATACAGTGCACATCATACTGGTCCTGAGGTAGGTTACAGCGGGAGATTTCAGAAGCACCATCAACAGTGTCAAGAAATGTGTAATATGAGACAGGAAGGATGATGCTCAACTCATGCTGTAGAAAATTATATTAAGAAAATGCACATGCAATATTAATACCAAACCATTAAAACTGGACTAAAATGGAGAAGGCACAGGTGAAGTCTTTCTTTTCCAAAACCACGTTCTTCAATCAGAGAAACAGTGCAGTTTCTCCATGCTTTACGGTTTTTATTTTCCTTTTCGAGCTCCAATTCTCTGATTTATAAGAAGTTCAGTTTCTCCGATGTGTAAACACTGCATGAGTCTGAGGTTTCTGTGTCTAGTGGCAGTGTGGAGAAGTATCCTTGTGATTGGCTCCACCTGTTTGCATCTCCATCCTTCTTAATCTGGAATTGAACACAGTCCTCTGAGGAGTGGAGGCAGTCCGAAGCCCCAGGCACTGGAAAATAAATCCTTCTCTCCTCCTCGTCATTTTGAGATGTGTGCCGCTAGGAAGAAATGAAAAGACACGATGGAAAATAACATTTGAGTCTGTGAAGTAGAAATGCAGCTGGAGTGGGGTATTACCTCGGTGGTTATATTATGACATGGGGAGCTCCTAGCTGGTGATCTGTGTGCTTCCTGGTTCTCGGCTCTTGAACTTCCCATCATGACCGGAGAGTAACCCTGGAAATACAAACAGCCGTAGAACACAAGCACATAATGGTACAAGTACAAAAACACAGTCTTTTTTGAAGGGGAGACACTTGAATATGGTAAAACATTTTAACTAATAGATATCAATATAGTTTTTTTTACAACTTATAATTTACAATAAGACATTCATATTATATGTAAACCGGATAATGTGCAGCGCCAGCGAGGCGGTCATTATGATCGTATTTCTTCCGCTAAAAAAAACAAAACTCCGTTCCACGGTGCACCAACGGCTGGCACTGCGACAACAACAACTTTACGGTAGCACTGTCCAACTCTGTTCACAGTTTCTGATCAACTAACAAGTCCTTAACACACTGCAGAGCCCATACCGTGTTCCTGTTAGTGTTTGCTTACTCTCTGCCTACTTCTGGTGATTTATCTGATGTCCAGCACTCTGTCTTTTACCCTCTTTTACTTTCTCTTTCTTGATCCTCCTTAGCAACGGTCAATAAATCCTTGACAGCGGTCTGTACTACTGGATTAACAACGTGTCACGTGTTCTGAATTGACCAATCAGAATCGAGTATTAAACTAAGCCATGTAATAGAATAATATACATTTGCTTTTTATTAATATATGACCAAACCCCTTGGTAAAATAACTATGAAACAAAAATAGGAAAGAAATGTGTGGTGTATAAGGGCTACCAGAGTACCGAAGAGATTAATCAAATTATGAGTAAAAAAGCATTTGGGGAATTTATAAGAAATAAACACAGACAAAATACAGTAAAAGCCAGCTCCTAAATGTGTACATATGATGTTTTTGTTCTACTATTCCTAAATAATAATCTTTTTAAAAGAATAGCCCAAACTCTTAAAATGGACTTTCACATAACGATGTTACTGCCTCCAGTGTATGGCCTTAACCATTCTAATACACACAGCCTGCTAACTCATAACTCAGACAGTCGGACTTACGGTATGAGAGGGGCTGGCTCTGGGGGTCATTTTTCTCGGTGTTCCAGGCGCCTGAGGGTGTCTGTAGTAGCTCGAGGGCTGAGGGCTGGGCTGGCTGTAGTCCTGCACAGACAAACACAGACACATTCAAGTCTGCATACTCACCTAAATTGGTCGCAGAGAATAGCTCAACTGGTTTCAAATTATAGAAGTGAAACTAACCCACATGCTTTATAGTAAGGTTTAATGCTAATTGTGATACATTCACTTTGTAATCATGCAACAACATATTATGACCTACAGATGGATGGCAAATTAGGAAATAATAAACATTTAGTGGCTTCGAGAGAGATAGAGCCCTTTAATGGCACATCTACTATAGTCTGCATAATTTCTCTGCTCATTTTTCATGTTTGTTTTTCAATTTGACAGCTGTCTATATGTATCATATGCAGCCTTTTCCAGATTCAATTACCTCCGAACGTAATCAAAAACAAGGACTCAGAAGAGTTCATCTATATTTAAGCACATTTATTCTTAGAAGAATTTTCAATGAATGGAGGCTTCATTCTAGACACCTTCACACAGCTTATGGATTTAAGAGTATGAAAGTATATGAAAGTATATGAAAGTATATGCAATATAGCTCCAAAAGCCTTGATTTATAAAGTGTTAGAGTCCTCTAATGGCCCTGTTAAGGCCATATGGTCATTTGATCTGTTCCATATAAACTACCCACATGGCGTTACATGTGGCCACATGGCGACATTATTTAATAGCCAACGCTACTTTCTCTAACCCTTTTTTATGTATTTAATTGATCCTTTGAACGTTCACTTTGTAAATGTATTTATAACCAGAAATTATTGCAAACTCAGGGAAACCTCAAACTACAAACGAACATGTTTAAATGTGAAACTGTAATGAAATACCACTGATGTAGTAACATGCTGGGATAAAAACAAAGTTATGGACATCACATGATAGTTCTCATACCTGAACAGCTATCTCAGCCAGAAGTACCCTAACCAAGACATCCTGATTTCCTCACCTGGATGTTGACCCTCGGAGGGTTGGCTGGTAGCGTGCGGTTTCCTCGGAGGCTGGAGATGATCTGCGACAGGCTGCAGTTTGGGTATCGCCTCATGAAGAGGAGGATACCAGCCAGGGACACAAACATGCCAGAAGGGACAGTGATGGACTTGAGAAATGTTCGCCATCTGCCTCCCCTTTCTGGAGAGATCAGAGGGACGAATATCAGGATGAGCGTGAGGGAGCGAAGAATTTGGATGCAAACAAATTATTATTTCAAGCATGCTGTCACTCACCGATCACCTGCAACCAGGTGGAGGAAACCAGGTTTCCATCCATATCTCTGATCTCATACAGCCCATCATGCCTTGCACTCAGCCTCATTATGACGACCTCATTGAGGGTGCCGTTCCTGCCCAGAGAGACGAGGCCCCTGTAGCGCATGTCGTGGTCTGTAATGTGGCCCTCGCGGATCAGCTGCACAGGGCCACGGGGGGGCTTGGGGTCATAAGGGCCCAGGGAGGATTCGTCAGGGTATCGGGTGGGGGTAAAAATGAGGCGTGCATGAGGGACAGGAAGAAAGAGGGGCAGGTTTAGAGACTCCTTGGAGAAGCGGGTGACATTAAGGGAGCGTCCTGCATTCACATGCAGGATCATGAACACAGAGATGGGTGCAGGATGAAGGAAATGTGGCGATATGAAAGGGTTTTAGGTGGAAAGGGAAAGATAAAATATAAATGTTATAGATGACAGGATCCTAAACAGGGCATTAACTAAATGTTATTTATATTATTGATTAGTCTATACATTATTTTTCTAGATTAGTCAAATTGCTCATGTCGTCTATAAAATGTCAGAAAATTGTGAAAAATGACCATCCCTGTTTCTCAAAGTCCAAAGTCCAATACTTTAAAAGTATTTTGTTGTCATTCAAAACCCAAAGGTATTTAGTTTAATACGATATTAAACAGTGAAAAGCAGAAAAACCTCCATATTTGAGGGGCTGAAAACAGCATTTTCTGCCATATTTGGATGAAAAATGACTTTTAACAGTAAACAAAAAGGTAGCCGATTACTTTTTAAGTTGATCAGCTCATCAAAAAGTCGCCTACTCCCAGTTATAAAGTCAAACGATTCCTAAAACCCATCGTCTAATCTTCTCTCTCTGCTCACCGCGGACAGTCAGGGTGCTGCGGGACACCACCTTCCCCCTGTCATTTCTCACGGTGTAGTTCCCCTGGTCTGCTTGCGTCACTCTCTCTGCGACCCACACCTTCCCGGCCCGCAGCAGCCGCCCCCGGCCCGCATCGCTGGTCTCAGGGTCCGTCCGGTTCCACAGCACAACCGGCATGGCTTCAGGTGGAGCACCCCAGGGAGTAAACTCCAGAAGGGAGCCATTTTCAGGGATGTGGTGTTCAAAGTTCTGCCCGTAGAATCTGTGATGGGACTTAATGCATGCTGAAGCAGGACAAAGAGTAAACTGTGATATATTTGAATGTATGTTACTTCTTAACTCCCAGCTAATTTCAGAAATAAATCTTGTTATTTTGTAGTATTCTTACACTTAATCCAAGCCATGAACGAGGCAGGAGATGGATTTAAAGGTAAGAGGAAACTATTGTACCTGAAACAGTGAGTCGAACAGCTTCATAGGTGAAACCAGAGGACAGTTTGATGGAGTAAAGTCCCTGATCCTCATGAGTCACTTCTCTCAGGACTAGCATCTTATCCCTGGTCCACTCAAACCGTGGGTCCTTAACCTGCAGTTGTAAAGTAAATAGGTTTTGGAAATCTGTACACACATCAAAATAAACAAACATTGACAAACTTCCACTCACAATGGTTTTGTCCAGCAGTGCACGCCTCGGCCCCTCGGGGTCTGGAGTGAAAGTTACCGTTCTGGATGTCGAGTAAACGGGAAGACGAAAATCCCGACCGGAACACACCATTTGGGCTTCCTCTCTTTCACCTGTGGGTGGGGTAAAGAAAATCAGCAACCTCAACAGAGATGATGTTTTGTAGGTGAAAGATTTTGGATGAAAGTTGACTCACTTGGTACATCCCAACCTACGGAGGGACAACAATGTAATATTATTATGCATCTTCTCAAGCAAAATGCATAGGCCTCAAATACAATGTAAGACACGATGGTACCACTTTCTAATAAGAATATCCAATTACCATTGTAATGGATTTATAAATTGTACAAGGATTAATGACTTAATTGATGGTTAATAAATCATATAATAATGTTCAGACTTATGGGTAAAGATACAGTTTTCCATGCAGGTCAGCCCTTGTTAAGGTCACCAATGATCCCTTTCTGGCACCAGAGAGACAGCTGATTGCTCAGTCTTTACATTTTAAATACTCTGCCCATTGAGATCAGAGAGGCTACATCTTAAAAATAAAGAATTTATACAAACTCTATGTTCACTTTGATAAGAAAATTGCCATACAAATCAAGTATCATTAGTATAGTTAGATATAGAGGTCTGTTTTAAATGGCTATAAGATTAACTTTTGGTTTCCCATGATGTGGTGTTTATTTTTATTTTTTTATTTTTTTCACTCTTTTATCTGTATGAAATGATGTCCAAAACATAATAATGTTTTTCAAAAAAGAAATCTGGAGATTAGTTTTCCCCATGAATTTGTTTATGCAAAATACAAACCCTCACAGCATAGACTGTTTGACCATTGAGCTGTGGATTATCTGGACCATAATCCAATTATCAACAAGAAATTAATATAAAAAAACATGGATTTGGAGATTAGGTTAAGAACCTTTTATTTGTGAATATAATTTTTGCATTTATAATTGCATGACATACTTCATGGCAGATTCTAGGGAAGTGTGAAATATGTGACTCTGATATTTGTATATGGAAACTGTAAGGAACCAATGCATGGTTTATCAACATTAAAGACTATATCATTGGCGTTAAAAAAGTTTAACACCAGTGAAGGGACATTTCACAACCTGGAAACCAGATTATTTTGTTTAGTAATACATAAAGCATTAGTAAATTAACAATTGTGTAATCCATTAGTCTCTTACAAAGTAAATGTAAATAACAAATGGTGTCTTAATCAAAATGGAAGCAAAACTATGTGCACAGTGTGACTTACCCACAGCAAAAGGAATGGCTAAAAGGGCAGTGAGCAGGACACAAGGGGACATCTTCACCTGTAAAGACAGTGTTTAGTCTACAGAGACATCCACCCCCACCTTCACATCACATCTCTGAACAAGCTGCGATCATAAATCTACAAGGATCAGAGACGAGGTGCCTCCTGCAGAGCGATACATCGAGAAGACATAAATATTGTCACAGTGATCCATGACGCTGCTGTCTGAAGTAATGTCCACGCAGGTGTCCAACATTTCTCGATGAACGCAACATTTACAGCGACCAGGAGGCCGCCACTTATTTAAATCACATAGTCTGTGACACACATATACACAGAACTCACCTGCAGCATGTATGAAGAATAAATGCACCGCGGGATATTTGTGTGTTTGTGTGAATATGGATAAGAGGATAACGTCCTCTGCAGAGCGCGCATGGGCACTGGTCCCCCTGTTTTATTTATGGCGATGCTCCTGCGCAAGAGACGTGACGTCTGCCTGGGTTTCCTGCCAGGTCCTTGGTATGAATACACTATTGGCGCAAGAGAGCACCGTTACAACGTGGGATCCTCCTGACTGGGCTTTCCATCAAATGACTATATAGGCTACTATTTTTTGTATTATGTGGTTTTGCCTTCTTATTTTTTATATGTGTAATAGCGGTGCCATATTGTTAATTTTCCAAGTAAAGATTTATAAAATATGGTTTAGAGTCAATCCAGTTCTTCTTGGGAATATGAAAATGTCCCTAAAACAAAATTAGTTGCATACAAAAATCAATATTTGTAAATCCATCACCTTTAAAGGTTATTAAAAATGTCCTTATTTTAAAGTTGTATTGTTTTTTCCGTTGTTCTTTTTAAATAATATTTACCACCAGGCCAAAACATTTTAGAATACAAAAAATGACAAAATAAATGACATTATTTCTTCATATAAATTACCGAAATTACAAGAAAAGTCCATATCACTTCTAAACCTTTTTAGTGTATTTTTTTACAGGATATATATTGTATGTAACATTTTGAATTAAACCTCCTCAACTGTATTACTTACTTCTGTTGTACTGCAGTTCAGAGGGAAATAGGCTAATATACTTTTTACAGGCCTATGTTATAACTTGTCAACTTTTTAAGAACGTTTTTTAAAGAATATTATGTGCTATTTTAAACAAACAAACAATTATTAGTGTTATTAGTGAAAAGGATGATAAGTGATGTGGATAAACCATCAATGTTAGTTTGAAGAGAAGGGTAAGGAACGAAGAAGAAGCCAGGACATCAGAGACTCAAGAAGTAGGCCCAGATCAGGGAGGAAGCACATTATTTGTGTTGCATCATTAAAGATCAAGGTCCTTAACATTTCTCGTCAAGATGATAAACTGCTAAGGCAGAAAGGAAAAATGAGAGAATAGAAAAAGTTGTTGATTCTGTGAGAAAGTTGGGGACATTATGGGAATTACTGGCAGGAAGTGCATGCCCCCTCAGGGTAGGGCTGGTTGATGGAAAATGTTGATTTATTTGTATTATATATTTTTTGTTATTGGGAGATTTGTAGAATTGTGTTAAGTTGAGGGCGCTGATGCAAGATGTTGGATACCAACAGCCGATTAAAAACCAACGAAGAAGAAGAAACTGATCTTCAAGTTTCTCAAAAACACTGGTCTGAGGCATAGGTCTGTGGACAAAGATTTAACATGAAGATTCAATAAATCAACAGTAGGTGGCGATAATGCTCCAAGTGGTTGCGACTTGCAGCAAAGAAGAAGAAGAAAAAGAGAAGCAAGCATTGCAAGCAAGCCACGCCTTATCGAACCAACTAGCTCTATGTCCGTGTCCGTCCGGACAACAACAACACACATTCCCCGAAACACAGAGGAAATAACTTTCAGTGAGTAGAAAGAACAAGTCTTACCTGTCACTTTTTCACATGTTGTGTTTTCTGCTGTTCAGTTTTCTGCTGTGTTAGTTTGCATACACGTTGTGATCGTGTTCAAATGTAACATGCTAGTTAAAGCGTATCCTCTCTCTGCAGGATATGTTATTGCTGTACCTGACACTTTCCTGCTGCGTCACGTTTGGAAGTGAGTATGAATCCTATTACTTTGCAGAAGAAATGCTACAGATACAACCCATCTGACTTTTAAATGATGTTGTGCAATCCTTGCTTAGTGGCCCCTAATGACACATATAGATATAGACGTTAACAGTGATGTTAGTAGTGATTAGAGAATCCATCCTTCATGTTTTAAAGTAACAGAAACAGGTCATAGTTATTTAAAACTCAATGGTGAAGTTATAAATATTGCTATAAAAAGTAGTACAAGGGTAGTCCTACTTAGTGTAAAAATCTGAGAACTATAACATAACAATTTAGGGAGCTGAAGGTGCTGAAATATTCACCCCTGCAACTTGTAAAAACATATCACTGTGTTTGAAGAAACTGCAGCGTGAAATATATTCCCACTTCTTATGTGGCTGCTGATTTATTGTTTGCAGTAAGATCAAAATATAAACAGAACCCTTCTCCTCCTTCCATTTTGTAACTTGTGCTTGGTGCAAATAGGTTTTATTTATATGCAATCTTACACAATAGACTCAGCTGTTTCCACCCTAAAGTGTAGCAACTTGTTAAAGAACATACCAAGTAGCATTGATTTAATTGAATCAAAAATGTTTAATACATGTAATTATAGAAACACACATTTATAGTTTCTGACCTTTTTATTATGTTTTAATATGTTTTTGAGCTGTGAGTTTGTAGTCTGCCCATCCTCCGACTCATTCTCATGGAACAAGATAACTTGGATACACCTGGGGGGTATACAGTATTACGAAGCAGGATTTTCGCTTAGCCGGCTAACTTCAGGGAAAACTCTGTTTCCGGTCCTACGAAGCTGGTTCTCTTTTTAGCAGGCTAGATCTCCATGGTAACTTATGCTGTGCGGCTAACCTATCCTATTGTGTTATTTTACATTTGTTCCCTGTACAGCACTTTGGTCAACTGAGGTTGTTTTAAACGTGCTATATAAATAATAATAATCAAGATTGAATTGAGATTGAAAGTTACAACCATTCCTTTGAGTGCAACCATAATGCTGACGTGGCCCGCGATTAAATTGAGTTTGACACCCCTGCTGTATACCATCAGAAATTGCTTGTTCTATTAAATATGTGCAATAATTCTAACATGTTTTTTGTTTGTACGTGCTTTTTCAGATTGTAATGACAGGGTAACAAAGAATTACAAGGGATCATACTCCTTTGATATTCCTACACAGGCCGAATACCTGAAGTTCATTCCCCTTCAAAGTGGAGACCTGCCACAGGTCCTGTGGAATCGCTCCGACCCTGCCAAAAATACGGGAGGAAGAGGGCGGCTGAGGCATGGTACCTGGGAAATGAAAAACCTTAATCAGGATGACATGGGCCACTACCACACCAGAGGAAAAGACAACGCTTTGCTGGGTTTGGTGTCGCTCGAAGTAACAGGTGATGGAAGCTTAATGTGAATATTCAGACAGCTGCATATCTGATTAAATGTTATAACATTGTATACTCTTTTCATATACAGCAACCAAGGAAAACTATAAAAGGAAGGAGCAAGAGTTGCTACTCATGCATTATCCTTTTTCTGATACCCCGTGGACTGTCACTTTTAAAGCTAAGGAGGAGGAGTACGAGGAAACATTGTTGAAAGCAGGCAGACGGCACAGAGGGTATGAATCGTACTCAGGTCGTTGGACTCTACCAGATAGGATTCAGCTTGAGGCCCTTGGCATAGAGATTAATCCTGTGGAAGTCTCTGACACCGGCACTTTTAGGTTCAGAGACCAGGGTGGCCACCTGGCTAAGATTGTGGAGCTGGTGGTATACAGGGGTGAGCAACAGCACATTCATTTGGAAAAATGTAAAAAGAAACTGTTCACGATGATTTGATTTAACATATTCCCCCTCCCCCTTTTTATCCTCCTACAGATCCAGACCGTACTTTTGTTTTTGTTGGTATTGCTGTTGGAATATTCTTGGCGCTCTTAGTCTGCTGTTGCTGTGTGAGAAAGTGCTGCTGTCAAAAGAGCTCCTCTAAAGTGGTGGAGACGGCTCCTCCCACTGCAACTGTACCTGCATCGTATTACCCTGTAAGTGCCTCATCGAACAGGAATTCAACTGTTTTAAAAATGTGTTGATTTTTTACTTAAAAATCTTTTTTTTTAATTGCAGGCTGTGAATCAACCTGCAGGCACAAGACACACTGCTAAACCTGCTACCAATTACTCCTATCAGCCTTATTCCCAGGCTCCCAGAGGACCTACAGCTGAGCCGTCGGTAGGTGTTTTACAATGGTTTTCTAAATGTGAGGTGCGCCCCGCACTTCAGTACCAAATTCGCTCCCTATGATTTGAAGTTGGAGATTTTGTTTCCCATCACCTACATTTTTATCAAACTAGAAAGGGAGCTTTTGATCGCGACGATGAATTGAAAATATTTGAACTCAAAGTCAAATGTCTTTCATAGGTGTTATGACAGCAGTCCTATAAGACCCATAATAAATATGTTCTCCTTTTTCTGAAACCTGTGTATTGGTTTTCCTTTCAGGTGAATGTCCACGTGAACCCCCTTCAGCCTGAGGTACACACACAAACATGAATATTGTTTAACAAACACTTAGAGAGCCCTCATTCTCACATAAATGCGTGCCTCTTCAAAGGCAGAACTTTCTAACACTGTTTCATTAACACATACTTTTTAATTTCCCCCACCTCGGCTCTCAGGGTGCTCCTCTCGGAAGGCAAGAAGTCGATGGAGCCTCCGCACCCGGCTCTAATTTCCTGTCCTCAGATCCTGGGCCCAGGTTTGAGATGAAACTGACTTCCCCTCTCCCCCTCAGTGCAGAATCGAATTTCCCGCATGTTTATACCTCTGCTAAACTCAACTTTTTGTAAGAAGCCAAATGAAAATGTCCAGAGATGCTGAGTTTTCATTCAGCATTGTGCTTTGTTACTATCCTAATTAGTTATTTATTAGGTCTGCATAATAGGTGTACGAGATAAGTGACGTGTACACATACACACTTTGTTGACACATCACCTAATTGTAGGATAAAAACCAACAAAAACCTGCTGTAAACAAAGGGTTTTGAGACCAGTTCAAAAGATAGATCCCAATTTGGAAATGTTTGCGTTCCATTTACATAAAAAACACAAGGCAATGAAATTAAGACACAGAAATAAACAATCCAATATATTTCGGAAATAAAAAAAATATTTAGCATTAAAAAAAAAAAAAAAATATATATATATACATGTGGAGATACAAATTTCCAGTAACAAAAAAAGTAACTCTTGATAACTCTTTGCTACCCAACAGTAGAGGGTACATTTTAATTTTAAGGTATAAATCAATTAAAACCGGTTCCTACAAATGATCACGGTATTTTGTTTACAGGTAAGAAGAACATAGGTCTCTTACTGTAGCTCCACACTGTATCGTTAACGCAGAGGGAACTGCCATTACACAAAGCATATCTGTGTTATTATATTCAATATAAATGCCTCTGCCATTAACTCAGGGTGTTTTAAAAATGCATCATGTACACTTTCCCTTTGCCATTCTGCCTAATATATTGCAGGGCATAGAGAGATGACAGTATTGTGAGGACTGGAAGTGAATCTGTGTAGCAGATTTGAGAAAGTAGAGGTTTTAAAACAGACTTAAACACTCAGGGATTATAATATGAACCACTAATTTTAAATAAAATACACCAAATATAAATATAAATGTTTTTATATGGTTGTCTCATATCTCCATTGGGCAAATTCTGCCTCATGTATCAGCGTGCATGTGAGGCTTTATCATTACGTGTTTAGAAATGATGTGATCTTTTTTATTGGTGTTTTTCTTTGTCAAAATGTACCCAAAAAATATTTTGTTGCCTATTTGTAGATGTTGTGTAAGGTGGAACTTTTTGACCATGTTCTTCTTGTGGCTTTGAGAAACTACCTGCTCATTAAGCCATCTAATCATAGTCAAATTAAAACAAACACATTTCTGCGTGACATGTAAAAAGGTTTTACTATATTTTGATTATGAAGTTTTTTATTATAGTATTTCTCTTGCTTTTTGAATGTTAAAAAATGAATTGCCTTACTGGACTGTATTGCATCCCAGAGAAAAGCTGCACTTACCTGTATGTAACATGGTATTAATGTTGTGTCAAATTATCCGAAACTAAATTGATGCATTATTGTTGTGTCAAGTAGTTTAAGCATGCATGTGTGTATAACAATAGAAACACAAGTACAAGTTTTCAAACAATCATAGAGTAATAACCAACATATAATTCTTTAATGTGACGGTGCAAAAGCTCACAGATGCAAGTCTTTATGGTTTGAAATTATTGTGTCTCTATTATTGCCTTCATGTTGCTCGGTGAGGGCACTGAAACCCTGTTTTTGCAATAAACCTATATTTTCTGATCACTTAAGAATTATTATTTTTTTTTTTCTCAAAAAGATGAATTCGTTTTTGCTAATGGTTTGATCTTATACCTTCTTATTTTGAATTATAAAGCGCACTGTTGAAAATACATCATGTCACATGTCTCTTCTTTTTTGCATGCACGTTACAAGGGGCTTCCCACTTTTGATTACATCTGATGAATTCTAGATGTAGCAGAGCAGGCTGTGAAAACCATTAAAGGGGGTATCCAGCATTTTAATGTAACATTTCATACAAACTGGAGGACAATGTTCTGATTTTCTATTTGACTAATTTGGTTATTAAACTGATAAAACAAGGTAAAGTACATCACCTCTGTACATGCATAGACATTTCTTATTGTATGGACCAAAAGTGAAATCGATTACCCGAGAAAATTACTATTAGATCTATCAATAATAAAAATGATTATCTTAATAATGTGCCTTTACACAAGTGATTGACCTGGCATTATTCATCAGGAAAATGGTGGCCTTCCCCCAACTCCAGCTTAAACATCTACTTTGCCGGCTGCTGGGTTCTGTCCACTGGTTTAGCAAAAGATTAAGAAAATGTGTATCAATCAAATATTATCCAATATAGTTTTGCCTATTAACATAGGAATGAGTTGAACAAATAATAAATAGTTTAAGTCCTGTGCTGGGTGATCCTCCTTACATCTTCTAATTTAAAAAGCAAATACATATAAATACAGTATATTCAAACAAATCAAAATGGATAAATAAAGCTTGTTTATTGGAAAACGTTTTTTAAAGCTAGAGAAGATCCCCGACAGAGGTCTGAGCTAAAAGTCCTCTAATCCTCTATATAACTAATATTTGCATAATAACTGACCCCTGGTGCCCTAACATTGTTCCCAACACGCTCCCTGGGAAAACAAAGTTGAGCATCCATCGTGTCCTTGCTTTACAAGCATGATTGATATTTTTAAAAGTACATTTATTCAAGTACGGTACTTGTACTTTACCTGAGTATTCTCAATCTCAGTTTTTGAGCTTCATACTTCTACACCACTACATTTGAGATGCCGATATTGTACTTTTTACTCCACTACATTTATTTGACAGCTTTTAGTTACTAGTTACTTAGATTTAGACTATTAGCTAATACAAAAATATAAATCAATTATTAAATCAACTTTAACATGTAATTATCCAGCAGCAGTATATCAAGTTATTCAAATTAGCTCCACCTTTACAAGCTGTGATAAAAGCACATCAATAATCATCATAATAACTCAGTAACTCAATATTATAAAATGTTAAATGTGCCATGGAATAAGGAGTACTTTTTACAAGTACGACTTTAAATGCAGGACTTTTAATTGTAACAACTTACTTTTTAGTAAAATGTAGAATTAGAATCTGAGTAGCCTACTTATTCCACCACTGCCACTGAGCCTGGTGGCTTGTTGTGACTCAGCCATTTTGGCACTTTAGGAATCTTGTAACGAGAATGGATGGCAGTAATTTCCTATGGTCCTTGAACGCATTATGTGTGCATCCGCAGAAACGCCCTGTGGGTGTGCTGAGCCCCCTCCCCCGTCCTGAAAACCTACTAAAAACGAGCACAGGGTTTGTGGTCTGTCTCACCGCGAATATATTGAGGTGTTTGCACCCAGTTTAATGTTGAATAATAAGGACTGGCTCCGACCTACACTGAACACGGCTGAGGTGTTTCTCACTGAAGACGATGATAGTGTTGTTGTTGCTTGGTGCCTTTCTTTGTATGGGTGAGTAGCCTAAGTGTAAACATATCCTAAAGCTGCTTAAGACAAAATCTGTGTACTTTAAGGTTTTGTACCCAACAGTTAGTAATAATTAGCCTGGAGGCCAATATCATGTGATTGGTGGAACGTAAACTAACTAATCACACGTTACTCAGTTTATACAATTATGTGTGTCGTTATTTCCAATGAATGCTACTTTACACTGGTAAATAGTTACTTAAAATGATACAATACAGGTATTCTAAACTGCATTAGATTAAATGCAATAACATAATCGTTTTCTTGCTAACTTTTATAATGTTTTGTGTCCCATTACATGTTTCCTGCACAAGATATTCATTTGTGCACTTGAGTTATAACATCGACTACATCCATAATTAAACAATAACTAGTTAATAAAGTTGGCAAAATCTTTAAATCAAGCTAAATATTGAATAGGAGGAGCTACTTTTATAATGTATTTTTGTTTTAATATTGCTACCATTACAAAAAAGTTGCCTTTATGGTCAGCATCCAGGGCTTCTGCCAAAACAATGCTGTCACATTAATTCACAATCATTTATCAGATTTAGAAAAATGTTATTACTTGTAATGCATTTTTTTGGACCATAGGCTCAATTATACAAACTAACTTGGTTAAACTTAGCTAAAGTTATGCATGAGGTGTGGCTAAGTAACAGATAGCTTTCTAACCTTAGCTTACGTGAAGGTTAACTAACTGGCTGCCTCTGCTGTCATCACTCTTGGCAAATAGAAAAAAAATTCAAAATATAAGGCTTTGGCTGCATTTAACAAATCAGAAAAGCAAAGTGATGAATATATGTAAATTGTTAACCATGGTTGATATTTAGTAAAAATGCTGCATACCTATTATGATAAGCATCCATGCTTGTATGTGTCTGGGTTCATTCGTAACCTTTCTGTTGTATTTTCCCTCTCTAGGCCTGGCAGAGCAGCGTTATGACGTAGAGTATGGAGACTCTCTGAACTTATGGGTTCCCAGAAAGCCCAAGTCCTTTGAGTTCACTCGCAAGTTCAGCCCAAATGTGACCATCTTGTGGAAATGGGGTGAACCGTTGACCTCGTTGGACGAAAGGCGGAAATACATGGGTATCTTCTTTGAGATGTATAATTTAACTCAGAAAGACATGGGCATCTATAGGTTCAGAGGCAAAGAACAGAAAGAACTGTCGACCTACACAATTGAGGTAAAAGGTAAATATCCTTTTTAGTTTTCAATTTTCATCAAATACATTTTCCTATCCTAGTACTTCTTTTTGTCAGGATAGTGTTGGTGTTACACTTGTTTCTTTAAAGTTTGTACACTTAACATGGTACGACCTGAATATCAGGAAGCAAAAAATGTGGCTTTTCATAATTAAAAAGCCCCTTGTATTTAGCTTCCTGAGATTTCTTTAGCATGTACAATAGTTTATTTTAAGAAGCTGTAGAGAAACATGATTTGTTTCCATACAAAAGAACAATCAGTTTATCTTTTAGATAGGGGTGTTAACCTTCTAAACTCTCTGCAATAAAACGATAGATTATTCCTTCAATTCTTTAAAAGCCAGCATGCTATATGAAAGACTAAACTGTAAACTTATACTGGAAACCAATTCTCTACGGTAGAATTGTTTGATCTGAAAAGATTTTAAGATATTGCTTTTATATGCTCTCTTTGTGTTCACTGTCTTTCAGCAAAAACAAAGTCCTTTCATAAGAGTCCTGGTAAACACCTCCGATTCTCTGCTAAACTGGAACCAAACTTCTGCAACGTTTACTTCTTCCCAGAAGGCACACTCAGGAGGAGGATGTCGGAGGTTGCGATTGTCCGTCGTGGCAAGCTGCAGAGGCATTTGGATGAACTTGGGCTTGTAGGGTTTGATCTGAATGAGCCATGTGAGATTTACATTGAGGCCATACAGAACACATACAGGGGACGCTATGAGTTCAGGGATGAGAATAATGACACAGCCTTAGAGGTGTATCTGCATGTAGCTGACCGTAAGTAACCTTTGTGTTTTTCCATTAAGTGTCAGATGACTGTTATTGGTGTACAATATAGTCCTAAACAGCCTTATACATAGCTTAATGTGTTGGTGCCAATGCTCTTTAATATCATGTTTTATAGCTGAATTGAAGTACCTCAGAATGACCTTCTTAAACTTCAAATATTTTTAGTTTTATCCTTAGCCAAGCTTTTAGTTGTAATCTATTGTATTTAACAGAATGACTCCCTTGTACATCCCTCAAACAGGGATTCCTTCAGTTAAGGGACCAATAGACAAACTCAATATGTGTAATATTGATGCACTTAAGAAGGAAGAAGTGCTTGTAGCCATAATATTCAAATCTAAATGAGTTAAAAGAAACCGTTCAACATTTTGGATACTATTCATCTGCTAACATGCCGGAGAGATAGATACTCTCATAATGGTATATATATATATATATATACAATACATGTGCTCGCTTAGCACAAACACTGAAAACAACAATTTTCTCACCTGTCAGCAAGTGTGAGAGACAAAACCTAAAAAGTAGACGAATAACCAAACCATGCAGTCGAGTGTTTTGTTCTCAGAAGAGTATTGTACTTACTGTCTTCCAGCAACCATTAGGACCTCTGAACTGAAGGTTGGTGCACAACTCAGCTTCAATTTTGATCTGGAACCAAACGACTGCAATATTCACTTCTTCGGAGAGCCATCGTTTGATATAGTTCGTCATGGCAAGCTGAAAAGGCATTTGTATGAAAATGATTGCATAGGATTTGAACTGATAAAGCCATGTGGGATTTTAAAGGAAGACCTCCAGATGTCTTGCCAGGGACGCTATGAGATCAGGGATCAGGATGGCGACACAGCCTTAGTGATGATACTAGAAATGGAGGGTAAGTAACCTGCCCATCTTCTTTAAGTGTCGAATGACTGCGTTTGAATTTCAACACTAAAAACTGTCTTCTATTATCGTCCTCCTGTCGACACCTTTCTTCTTATGTCTAAGAAAGATTTACAATGACACGAATCAGAAAAAAGCAGGATATCCTCGCATTGTAACCAAAGCAGCATATTTACAATAGTATACACACACATTCTTGCAAATGACATAATCAATCAGTCAGCACCATCTTTACATTTCTCTGCCCATTGACTCTCTGTTTCAGCACCGCCTGCTGAGCATTCGGCTATTGGTATTAGTATGGGTGTTTTCTTTTCCTCACTTTTCGTGTGTGTCTTGAGGCGCTGCTGCTGTAAAGGCAGCTCCTCCGAAAACAAGACATCTGAGCCTGAAGCTGCTGGGCCTGATGTGCCATACGAAGAGGTGAGGCTACCTGTGTGAACACTATGGTATGCCGTTGTTAGTATTGTTGTTAATAAACTAATTCCCCGTTGTGTCAATCTATACAGTACGACCTTGAGCCTGTTCGACTGCAGCCAGATCAAGTCAGCGAGCCCTCTGGGACCCCTTACCGCGCTCAGCCTCCTCTTACGTCCACCGACCCGCTAGTTAGTGTCTGTTGCATATCAAACAGAGAACTTATCTACATAATCTGCACTACTTTATTCTACTCTATTTCTAATCTGTTTCTTTTTGCACTGTTTGTATTTTATTTGTGTTTTATTGTTTTATGTCTTATACATTATATTACATTGTTGGAGGAGCCTAAGATTGTCATTGCCATATTTACACTGTAGCTACTGGGCAGATGACAATAAGGCCTTTGGAGCTTGAATCTCTCTTGTTTTCTCAAACACTTGAGCTCCGTTATGCTTTTCCCTCTCCACTACTTACATGTTATGTTTTGCTTCACAGATACACAATCATCCTTCTGTGGAGATGCCACCAACATATTCTGAGGTATGAAATAATTCATATAAAGTGGAATTGTATTTTTCAAAATCTATGTATAACTTCTTTTGGTCACATTAGTTAAAATAACTTATCTTATTTGCAAAATCTCACAATATCCTGACAGTAAAACAAGAGTCGGTAATCTTTTCTATAACTCTCCCCAGTGATCTTAATGGCTCTTGCAATATTTTTATATAAAATACATATATTTGTCTGAGTGAAAACACCCCCTCAAAGCCGTATTGAATATTTCTATTCAAAAGTTTTCATATCATATTAAAGTGTACTGGTGTTGGGAACAGTCTAGCCAATCCTAAGCAGGGGTACGATTTCTCCTCATTTACCATCCATGTTGGCGGAGTTTAGAAAGTCTCGTATACTATTATTCTACTGTTCATTTGAGTAACCCTAGTCTCATATAGCTGCCCTGCCAGCATCTAACTCCTGAATGCGTATATTTAGTTTTTTTCATATGCCGATAGCATATTCTGAAACTAATGGATTCATGCTAGTTCATCATTTTATTTCAAATATTCTCCATGTAGCCTCTTTTTAAACAGCAGTATGTAATGTTTGTACTTTAGTCTTTCATTTATCTGTTTTGCCTCAATATGATCTTGCTTGTGATACTTCTATGACATATTTGTCTCGCAGATTTTTGCTGCATCAGGGCAAACAGACGCTCCAACTTTCCCCGTCCACTCTGACCCTGAGCCGCGGTTCGAGGTGAAGGGGATGACCTTGCCCTCCGCTCCCCCACTCAGTTCAGACTCAACTATCTCTGATGTTTATACCTCGAGCAAACTCAATTTCCTCTGAGAGCCTTGATTTTGAAAGAAACATTCAAATGTGTAAGCTCATTCATATTATGGCAAAAGTTTTGGGAAATATTCATATTCATCAGAGGCTTCCTGGATTCTCAGCTGGAAACTGGTCCCAGCCAAGAAATAGAACTGTCCATAAACCACCATAAAACTTGGTTCTGTTGTTTATATGCTTTTTTAGCTGATTAAACAAGATAAGATGTTAGTTAGTGAGCTTTTAGAGGTGCCGGTAGGTAAAGTTAGCCAAGCTATCGGTTGGCCTGTTGCTGGGACCTAATTTTAGTACCTAGTAGTTAAGTGTACAAGTACATTTACACTAAAGTTTAACAAGGTGCTGAGCACTAAGTACCCGCCTGAAGGTACACTCGTTATGGTCAAAAAGTTGTGGAAGTTGGAGAATTCTCACACTCAGCAATCACCATCTTGGCTACGTAATGGCAGGTGGCAAGACCAGTCACAATGTGGTTGCTGTGGTGAACACAGAACTATAAAAATTAGGGTGATACATGATCTTTTCAAACGTTTAACATAACTTGCAAACATACCACTATATTGTTGTTAAAAGGAAGCAGTCCATAATGGTTTGGTACTGCGAACAATAGTGAAGAGCAGCAGTGTGTATTTTCAACACAGTCTCACGGCATTTTGTGTTATAGTCACGAAATTAATCTATTGGTTCGTGTTCACCAACACAAATTCGCAATTTTTTTCGTGCCACACAGCAAGATTTTAAAAGCAATGTAAATAATAACAAATTAGAAGGAAAAACAGATTTAAAAAATACAGATTTCAGTATTCTGACACAGAACGATTTTAGAAGTAATGTATTTCTATATTTTTATGTCTAGTATGTTTCGTGCCTGCACCAAATAATAACAAATTAGAAGGAAATAAAGATGACAAAAAATACAGATTTCAGTATTCTGAGGCTCTTTGCCCCATTTATTTTCCTCGCGGACGGCAAAAAAAACTCAGACATTATACAATTTAAAATAAAAGGGATAGGGTTAGGCTTAGGGTAAGATATTGAGTAAGAAAATGTTTTTATGAACCACACAGCTTCTGGTCTTTCAAGACCCGACAGGACAAAAAGACGTGGTGCAGGCACGAAACATAGACTACCAATAGAAATACATTGCTTTTAAAATCGTTCTGTGCGACACAAAAGAAATGCGAAAATCGTGTTGGTGAACACAAATCAATAGATTAAATTAATTTCGTGACTATAACACGAAATGCCGTGAGACTGGGTTGGCATTTTAGACAACGCAACCCAGCTAGGCTAGGCTAGCTAGGCTAACCTGCTGCTGGCTGTTATTTTAGTTTTACAGACCAGAACATAATTATGACTTTGTGCCTGAGGATCACACATTCCATACCAAAAGCAAAATGGAACTTTTACAATAATAAATCTCTCTTTCCTATCTCACTTCATGAGTGACACTCAAATAGCTAATTTGTGTCTCCTATTTCTGAATAAATAGCTTTAAAGTGCTTGCAGTTATGTCAGGGATGAACCATTTACTGCAGCTTAACTGAATATTTGTAGGTAGAAAGCATTCCTAAAGTAGCCTTAATTGATGCAAAGCTCTCTGTATTTACTCCAATGTGAATGCTCAGGTTCATATTTGCATTGTGTGCCTCTCTTAGGACATGTTTACATGTTTTAATGTTCAAAAGTGCTTTATATTTTCTCATACTGCCTTTTTTCATCCTCTGTCTGAAACCAGAGCCCAGTCTTCTCTGATTGGTTAGCCATTTACATGCACACAAACCTATAAAACACACTCCAGGAAAGGCATAATAGGGCCTCTTTAAAAGTTGAAAAGTCCTCATGTTACTTATTTGGACATTTGCTTGGCACTCTGCATGTTATTCAGCTTCAGTGCATTTAAAACGTTTATTTATGCAGTGAAGCGTATATGTGAATTAAATTAACTTCTGAAGGAGCTGTAGCCTATATGTTTATGTATATTGATATGTACTAACCACTGTATTTCATTGTCTTAGGCAAGTCTCAAACACATACACAGATTTAAATGTGCTAATGTATATTATTTGTCTTGTAAAGTGATTTTTTGATAGTAAAATCACAAGCACCAGTTGCCTTGTACATAATTTCAATGGCATAAAAACACCTCTGCACTGCACTTATGTCAACATTGTACCATAAGTGCATTACTCAATACACATTTGTATGAGGTGCAATAAATGTTATTACACACGATTTCATTTTTTCTTTCTGGGAAAATAACTGGTAGGGAGGGAAATGTCAGAAGATATCAGCGACAAGGACCTGAGATATGTTATTATCTGACAAATTAGTTAAACTGTCTAATCTGTGCATGGTTAGGGTTCACTTTCCGGTATTGATTGTCCTTTGTGGTTAATAATCTGAAATGAGGCATGATATCACCAAGCCTTACAATAAAAATATATTGAGAATGTATTGTAGTTTTGTTACGCCACTACACGCACCACCAATCCAACATGTCAGCGCAAAGCCAAAAGTTTATCCATGCATTTTAATTCCCTTCGAACAATAACAACCGGTCCAAAAAGGATGATCGCCTGAAAAGCACTGTAACAAATAGTGTAGCATATGAAAATACAGTATGACTATGTTCAACTATTTCTTTTTTAAGTATAGGTGTTGAAATGTCATCAAAGGGTGCATACAACAATATTTGTTTCCATTTTGTACATCTGTAAGCCACATGGTGGTAGTGAAAACTACTCTGAGATTCAGTGTTATCTTTTAAGTTGTTTTGGCTAACTAGATAGCAGATTGTTGCTTATGGATTTATAACTTCACACTGTACATTTTACATTTCTATTTATTTGACATATTATTGCACACTAAATGTAAATAATATTCCACTTTTATATTGTGTTAGCTGTAATGTAACCCTTCAATGGGGTTTTATTTATCAGATACTTTTCATATTTTTTCTTAACGCTCTTAACTTCTATATTTTCACTCTTTTGGTTCTGTTTTATCTTCTATTTTGAGATGTTTACTTTGTATAACTGTTCGTTTTTGACTCTTTTTTTTCTTTCTAATTATGTACAACACTTTTTTACATGCTGATGTAACGAAAACATTTTCCCTATTTGGGATTATTAATTTAAAAAATAACAATCATAACAGCAGTTAGCTCCGTTTTGGTCTACACTTCCTCCTGAGAGAAATATCTAGTTTTTTGGAAGCTAATTGCTCAACATTGTTCACCAGCTCGCTAATGCTGGTTGTTTGCACTTTAATTTGAAGAACTATTTCACTGAAAACTTTTTCTGCTGCTGCTGAGGAAAAGTGATTGAGAGTGAACTAAGATATAAAAATGAAAGAGCTGGAAGACACTTTAGAGCTAACTGAGCCTAATTAAAGAGTCAAGATTAAGTGACACATTTCACATCCCATATAGTCATTTAATTCATTGTAATTATAACATTTTTGGTCAAACATAGCAGCTTTAAAGCCAAAGGCTCCATTTGCACAACCGGCTGATCTTCTGTCTGATCTTCTAATATTAGATGTTTTATTTTTACAATAACATCTTCAAATAATTATTTTGTAAATGCATTTATGTCTAGAATCAGATGACCTTCCCTATCTTATTTTTCTGTGATGATGCAGTGAGGTGGTGACACAGGGAGTTAGTTTCAATGTGGATTCATATCTTTCCACTCTGCACTGTAACACAACAAAGCGTAGGGGGAAGTGAGTCTTAATGCTGCAGGCCGAGCTAGCAGGAATGATAATTCTGGCACCGAGGTCAGGTTGTTCCACTCGGCTGGAGTGGCAGTGGGGGTTGAAGGCCGTTAGTGTGGATCTGGAGGAAAAGCTTCCAGTTGACTGAGCAGCGAGAACCAACCAGGCACAGGCGACTAAAGAGGCCATGGACAGCTAGGTTGGCTTGGTTTAAAGATACAAATGTATAATTTCCAGTACATGGTTCAGCTGAACTCTAATCACTTTTAGTGCCAGGTCCTTTTTCGAATGGTAGCCCTTCAGTGGAGGCTGGATTCCTATCTGATCCCCATAGGGACATAAAACCCCCCCCTGACAACGGGACGCTTACTGAAGTCTTTCACTGGCAGCCAAACAGGGGAACGTCTTCACCACAGCTTCCAAATCACGTGAAGAGACTCCAAATTATGCAGCATTGTATAACCACGCTGGACGAGTAGGACACACCTTTTTATTGGATTTTAGTGCTCTTTTTATTTTTATATAAATGTTCTAGGGAAAATTCTGTATTTTTTTATTTTAAAGTCTCATTTCTTTTTCACATGTAATGTGACCTATTAATTCCCAATTTATACCATAACATATTACTACACTGGACAAATGCACTTCTTTTAAGAATATTGGTATTAAAAGCATTTTTATTTTAATGAAGTCTTGTTTTTAGCTTCCTTGTCATGTGACAAACTGACTTCAAATCAATAAAGAATTGAATTACTACATTGGAAAAGTAGGGTACACCTTTTAGTATTGATTTGAGTGATTTATCTATTTTATACAAACATTCTAATGGAAATTCAGCAGTTGCCTTTTTGAACAGTCATGTGACACAGTGACTCCAAATCAATGCAGAATTGTATTACTGCAGGGGACAAATAGGAACAAATTATTTTTGACTGGTTTTGGAGTCACAGGGCAACCTGACATAAAAGGCATTGCAAAGGTTGAAACTTTCCAATGGAAAACTGCTGAATTTTCATCAAAACATCTTTATATAAAATAGAGGGTAGATTAAAATCAGCTGTGAGCTAACCATCCTCTGAGTGCCTAGAATCTGTGAAACTCAGTTAGAATACCAGAAAGAATATCTGTCGAATATCAAACCCAAAAACATAATCGGGGTCCGTTTGTTGGTCAGCCGTTTTGGGCAGGACTGAATTATCCCGCCAAATATTGGATGGATTGCTATGACATTTTGTAAGATGAAGAATGAATGGTGCCACAGAAATGAATAAAGAATGACTTTAAAGACATTTGGAAATGTCCAATACTTTAGCGTTACCTTGTAAACATCAGCATGTTAACATTGTCACTGTGGCTGTTGGCATACTGATGACTGTCTTAATTAATTGAGAATTATGTAAAATGTTGCCTTCATTGTTATTCGTAGATCTACAAAATGGTCTTGCTATTGTAGCCCTTTTACTACTTTTGTGTCTCAATGATTACAGTTCTTTATTATAGTACGAATAATCTGTGGTGTCATTATTTTGGCTTTCAACAAAGAGTGCATTTCTCGTTTAAAAATCCCACAGATTACTTTATTTCCCATAAAAGTTTAACAAACAAATAGAAAACATCGATGACATTGTTTTCTTAAAAGACATTTCCACCACTTTTGTCCATCTCTATTCCCCTTTCTTCTTCTCAACACCCTTCACCCGGCCCTCGAGGGTGCTCAGCCTCTGCTCCACTGTACAAGTCTTTTCAGAGCAGGAAGTGAGCAGAGTCAACAGGACACATCCCAGCACCAGGCCCCCCACTCGGACCGCTGTGGTGTCTGCGGTGGCGTTCTTCTCCGTCACGATTAGTCCGAAAAGCCAGAGCGCCAAGACGGTTTTCACCACCCAGAACACACGCTTCACCAAGCAAATGAGCAAACGGAGAACAATGGTCAGCACCCAGTAGCCAATGAGGGCCACCAGACCCCACTGGGCGATGGCCGCCAC